TGGTTTGAGGGGAGTAAAATAGACATAGGCTGTCATGACGACCGATTCAATAGCTTTGAGGGATGTACGTGTGCGGCAGGAACTCGCACGCTTGTCTCCAATTTCCTTTCCTGTCACTGCTATCGTGAATATCAAAGCGAATATGTGAAAAACAGCGGCTCGTGTTATTAGCCTTGCTAATATTTTAGCCATACATGCTGTCTAATGAAGTGGTATCACTGGCAGTAAATCTACTTCAGGCACATGAGAGCATACTCTCAGTCAGGTGAGCCACACATTGGTACTGCTGAATTACAACTTGACAACGACTGACTGAACCTTGTTCTTAAGTGTCTCGACAACATACAGCAAAAGCACAATATCACTTGAACGTTATTTTAAAGTTGAAAAGTAGAGAATTTCCTCTTGTGAACAAATCTATAAAACACCTGAGATCTATTATGATGAAAACCTGAGATCACTAAACCGAGTGCATCTGTGACTTACAACCAACCTAATTGCATTGACTTGTGAACACCAGAACTTCCTCAGTTTTGGACCTATGGACTGTCTGTGTGTCTGCATCATGGCTCTACATGGAAAAGAACTGACATTGACACTAAGAAAATCAGATTGTGAGACAGAAATGGACACAGAAGACCAGTGGCCAACTGAAAACTAGCTAAAAGACAGTTGCAGCAGTAACTGGGAGGCATAAACGAGCCGTAGTGCCATTAGTCAGAGCCAAAGTGGCCGTTCCTGTGAAACTGCACCACAAATAGTACATTATCTGAACAAACCGAGAAGTGCTTCAGACCTGGCTCAGGGTTTCTTCTACGTCAGCTTCTATGGACGTCACCCAGAGAAAAATTTGCTAAAGTACATTAAAGGAAGCCTGACGAAAGCTGGGAGCAAATTTCTTTATTCAGATGAGACCAAGATGTTCAGCTCAGGTGGAGTCCAGCATGTTTGACATGAACCTGGTGAAGACAACCACAGTGGATGCATAACCCTGACAGTAAAGAACAGAGGTGGAAATCCAAGGACTGTCTTTTATAAAATTGCATACTGATCTGTGTACTTTGTTCATCTCCTGATGCAAACCTTCACTTAGTAAACATTCATTCACCAATACAGGAGAAAAGGAAGAAACTGTATCTAACTAGTAAATAAAGGACTAGCTGTCTGTATGTCTGACGATGTGTTCTTTGCTCTTTTTTATCCACAGTTCACCCAGTTTAGTTCACACCTGGGCGAAGTAATGCACCGTTGCAGTTTAAAGTTTTTTAGATAGGAGCTCCTCTTATTTTGGCTAAAAGTAGTTTTTTGTTACGCTTTCACAACAGTGTCTGCTGCAGACCTCTGGCTGCTTTTAGAACCAATAGAAATTCAACATTTCAGTTGTTGTACTGATGCTATCCAGAGCAGAATATTCACATCACAATGGTGAAAAAGTGTGATTTCTTTGTGTAAGAAGATGATGTTTAAAAGGAACAAATAGTGAATGAGGTGTTTTGTTAGTGGTTTATAGCAAAAATGTTCAGAAGATTCAAATGAGTCCCATAAAAATATGTGTTTTAAGAAAGATAACAAAACAGGATTATTAAATCCTGATGTATTTTTTGCAAGGATTTCTCATTAATAAAATGTCAGTTAAACTAATTACATATCTCAGCGTCCTAAGCAAAATATATCAGATTAAAATTACCCCTATGACGGGTATTGTATTTAATCACATTATAGCAAAATGATGATGTTGTCATTCCAGCTGTTTGTCCACACTTGAACCATAAATGTTTTACTACTACTGTGATAGAAACGTGTGTAGCTTCATGTATAAAAGCACAGGTTTGGGGTGATTTTGAGTTTCACTTGAAGAAAAGACAGCGTATTGTGATGGCACCATTATGAAGCCAACTCTAAAGCAATGCTGAGGAAACCCACAATGTTTAAATGAAGCAGCAACAGGGCGTTCGTTTGACATCAGCCCGCAAACATCAATTCATCCCACATGCTAACTTTAGCAATGCATTTACCGGAAAGAGATTAATATCAATTCCATAAATCATTCAAGGGATACATCCGGAGCCAGAGACACTTATATGTTAGCTGATCCCGGTGTGGGAGCTCATCACCCATTAATCAATGTCTGAGCTCCTCTGGCCGTGTCATCTGGGAATAAAAGAATTATAAAAAGGCCAATCACCACGCTGATATCTCAACACAATCCTCCTAATGTAACATATTTAGAACTTCACTCTTTATAGGCCCACACAGGATCGGGTTTCCTCTGGCGGATTAATAAGTAATAAGCCTGGGACACGCTACAACTGGAAGAAAAACTCTCCGCTTGTGACCTCCGGCTCGCTGAAAATCAAGCGTATCACAAAATCAACTTTGGAGGGAAAAAAAAAACAGCGACAATGACACCAAGGCCAGACATCAGAAAGTAAACAGGGCGAAGTTAAAGCTCATCTTAGTCTGCAGACACTAAAATGGGCTTATCTGTGGAAATATGAAATCTGAGTGCCATCTGAAGCTAAGATTCGGTCCCACGGAGAGCCGCTGATTCCCCGATTTACTCTGCCTACTCGTGTGCTTGAGTGTTCGCCTGCGCGCGAGTCTAACTAACCGACCTTGTCAATGGCGAAGACGTGCTTTATTTTCACTGTCATGCCGGTTCAGCTGTCGGTAAGCAAAGGGCATTACCGGAGCATTACCGGAGCACTGCGGAGAACGTTAACTTTGTTGTACTGTATGCCAAGCATTAATAAAAGAAGTGGACAAAGTACTGAAACTGTGAATTAAGCGACTTCTTTATGGACACGTACTTGGGTTACCCAAATGGAAAAAGAAAATGCATGTTATTCTCAGTCATTTGTCTATATATTATTCTATATTATATCAGAATATTCTACTATAGAACATCTGCACTCTCATAACACTCTTACTATCCATCCATCCATCCATCCATCCACCTACCCATCCATCCATCCACCCACCTATCCATCCATCCATCCATCCGTCCATCCATCCATCCATCCGTCCATCCATCCATCCATCCGTCCATCCATCCATCCATCCATCCATCCATCCATCCGTCCATCCATCCATCCATCCATCCATCCGTCCATCCACCCACCTATCCATCCATCTATCCATCCATCCATCCATCCATCCACCCACCTATCCATCCATCCATCCGTCCATCCATCCATCCATCCATCCGTCCATCCACCCATCCATCCACCCACCCATCCATCCATCCACCCACCTATCCATCCATCCATCCATCCATCCATCCATCCATCCATCCACCCACCTATCCATCCATCCATCCATCCATCCACCGACCTATCCATCCATCCATCCATCCATCCATCTACCTATCCATCCATAATAATTCTCACAGCTTCAGTAAAACTTTTCTTTAAGACAGAAATCCAGTTGCTTTTTACATTTTTTTTTCATTTCAAGGTGACTTATTCTACTTTCTAAAAATGTGCTTAAAACTCAGTCTATTGTACATCAGGTCAAACATGTCAATAAAAAAATAAACCTAATCTTAACCACAACAATAAGCTAAACGGGTTGCGTGCAACCTGGCAGATGTGAAGAGCTTTCACTTTATTAGGTACATGTGGCAAAGATGCAGTTATTCAAGCAGTACTGATCATGTTTGTGTAAATACTGCTTCTGCATAAAGAAAAGAACAAACGCGAGTGACAAAAATAGTCAATGCAGACATCAAATATGAACTAAACAGCATAGTACTGACTATACCTGCATACGTTCACGTATTGAGAATGAGTAAATGAAAGAAAATTAACGCTACACACTGCACACGCCTACATACATGTGCATCTGTGCGTTAAGTATGTGACAAACAAGCACATAGCAGCACAAACAAACCCTGTTTTAGTGTCCCCGTGTTGACTTTTAGTGATTTATAATAAGAATTTCAGATCCTTGCACTTGTCTGTAAATCTTCATACGTTCGTGACACTGCTGTCGCCAAGATGTGACAGTTCTCAGATCAGCACACTCACGCAGCTGTTTGCTATACTGAAAAACTCTGGCAATGAGATATATACTGCTGCTTTCTGCTTCTAAACCTAAATCCTGCATAAAGCCAACATTCAACCAAGCTTTACCGACGAGTGTGACGCCACAGAGCAACGTGGACGGCATTAGTTGGGGTTTACATCTTGATGTTCCAGCCCTGACTGACAGTGACAATAACAAACCACGTCAAACACACATAGTCTGGTAAAGTTCCACTCTCCACTGATTTCTTGTTTATTTTCAGCCCATATAGACACAGCACATCTAATTAACAAAGATAGCGGACTGAAACATACAGCCTGATAAGGTTGCACAAATGAGAAGTCGCTAATCCAGGCAACGATTTAAAAATTCAAAAGAAGGACCTTAATGTCAGCTCCGGCTTGAATAGACAGCAAATGCAGTGAAGCTACAGTAGCGTTCGTGCACCGCGGCCTCTAATGAGAATTCTACCCGAGGAGTGTTGAACAAGCTGGATGTGTTACGTAAAAACTTTAGGTCGGAGTAGGTAGCATTAAAATTATTTAGTTTTGATGCAAAAATAGAGAGTCAGAGGTGCTGCATCGGCTCCTGACAGGATGTTCGAGAGAGAAAAATATGTTGCAAACCATATAATAACTAATTAATGGTAATGAGCGGCCATGGGTTTGGATGAAGGAACACATATTGGTGTTATTTTGTTGTTTACAGTGGAAGGATGGAAAATAAGCCACTTTTTTTAGGTGTATAGGTTCAAGTGAGACGTGTCATATTTCACATATCACATCACATAAATATAACAAAGTGACCACAAAGATGTTCAACAATAGCAAAAAAAAACTTTATCCATGACATTTTGGTCAGTATATGACTTTTAACATACTTTACTTGTATTACAGAGATGCAGAGTAACAGCATCCCTGACCAAATCCAAAACTATCTGTCCTTGTGTTGTGTTCTTCAGTGTTGCTACTCACCGCTCTCGAAGCAGGCGTCGAACACCAGGTGTCCTTTTCGCGGAGGTCCTGAGTATCCTGGAGGACTCACCACCAGCTTGTTGACGTTCCCCACCAGGGCGTCCTCTCCTCCAGCCTCGCTGCCTAAAGAACGAGATCGATACGGAGATTTAAAATGAGTCTAATCTCACTGAGAGGCGACTTGATTTAAACGTCACTTCTCAGAAACTGTGACGTATCATTTGTATATATTATGAGGAATTTAGTTAATGTTAAAGTGCTGATATGTATTGCAAAATGGAGCAACGAGAACAAATGAAAAATGTGAAGATTAAAAGACATCTTAACAGAAAACTTGTTAATTCCATTCTATTATTTAGATTTCTTTCCTTTGTGATCATGCTTCTATATGTAAACAGGGTTTCAATGTGTTTGTTTTAATTTTAACACTTGGTGAGTATTACTCGATGAGGTGCTGTGAAAATGGCCTTTAACTGTAAAAGGCAGAGTGGAAGCAGCATATGCATACAGCAGCAGCCAGTTGTAGGCGTTCATACACATCAAATGCAGGCTGTTGCCTCCAGCTGTCTTTAGGAGTCTTTCCTCTGAGTCTATAACAGAACCTGCAGCATCAAACAGCAGCCACATGCCTACGAATGTCATTTCACAGGAGAATATCTGCATAATTGTTTGACCACAACCTCCCTAATCATTAAAGTAACGACCAAAATATGGCAAAAGCTAGCCTCGTAATGATAAAAACACATTTATTGTACTGCTGTAGTTTAATAAACTGTCACCACACATAGACAGAATTCTCAGTATTGAAATCGTAAATAGACTACAGATGTCTTTCCTACATTTTCCCTCAAACACTCTGCAGCATCTCTTGTCCTGAGCTGTTTGAACATTAGTCACCCTAGTAGCCAAAATGCCAACTGTACCTGTGTTAGTGATGCACGTCACATAACTGCTGGCAAAATAAGGAACCAAAGTGTGTCAGAACATTTCCATTAACACAGTTTTTAACCAGGCTCTACGCTACAACAGCATAACAGCATTTTCTGCCTTTCCTATGAAGAAATTCTGGAGGTGCCCCCGTTCCAAACCTATCTGCATGCAGGCTGTTTACAGAGAAGGGACCAACATACCCCACATACTACAGGAAGACATGGATTATAAAGCATCCTTCTACCAAATGACAACTTTCAATAACATACAGCAAGTAAAAATCCTAAATATATCCCACCCTGCGCTCTGACCGCTTTCCTAGAATACGGGAAAAGAGACTTGTGGGATGAACAGAGTACATCAAATTAAACTACATAAAGCTAAATTAGATAAATGGAACGGCACGAGGGAGCACAGCCATGAACTCTCACTGAAGTTTCACTGAAAATCCAAGTTTTCACTGAGTGCAACTACAGTTCCCAAATTAAGGAGACTTTTCTATGTTTACAGCATGATATTCGCAGCAGAGACACTATTTTGTGTACAGATGCACTACAAAACATGGCTTCTCTAATCAATGACACAGGTAATGAATTATAAAAATAAGGAGCTTTGAAACACATTTTTATGGTGTTATAAGTCACTGTAGTTAGTTAAATTATCATCACACATAACTTTCAATATTGAAATAGTCTTTTCCTGAGTGTTCACCCAGATAACTAAAACTGTACTAATTTTATTTTATTTTCATCATATAATTATTCACATTAACTGCAAAATTGACAGCTTTCAACTCACTTCTACAGCACAAAATCATTTTAAAAAAAACTTAAAATTCAATTATGAATTCTCTCCAGTGTCCCACATCATGATTTTTTGTGACCCCACGTGGCCACCCCTGTGTCAGGCTCTGGGCCGCCCCTGCTCCTGTACACCTGTCCACATGTATGCTAATGTACCTTCAGTCTGGTAACGACCTGAGGAACCAGAACCCAAATGTGATTTGTTGTTTTATTTCATTACAGTGGAGCTTAACAAGAGTTTTCCAGCTGCTTGACTTTAATTCAGAAGGAGAACAGCAGTTTTTCCCGAAGCAGAATCAACTTCAGGTGCTAGCTAATTAGCTACACAGCAGCTCGGTGGGGACAGGCTGCTCTGTGTTGATACCGCGGCTAGCTAGCACGTAGCCCAAACACCTGCACACCTGCTCGTCCAAACGGCTCAACGGTTAACGTGAACATGCCAGTGATTGTTTAAAGTCGCTATCAGCTCATTGTGTGTTTGAATAACGTCGGTAGCAGCGAAGCTAGCTGGTAACGGCTGCTGCTCGGGCTCGTGTTTACATCCCTGCACCTGCTAGCTAGGAGTTAGCATCCCGGCTGGTAGCGCCGGTGCAAAGAACCCGCAGCGAGCCGGACAACACGCGCAAACTATCCGTCGCACAGCAGCGGAACATGCGCTGCCTTCTGCCCGCACAGCAGCGATGGGAAGGACAGGTAACGGTGATGTGTACACACCAGTCTCGACGTCTCTAGCGGGGTTCTCCTCCATCTTCCTCTCCATCTGCCACACAGCGGCCGACGCTCTCTGTGTGTTGCCAGGGAAACGGAGCGGGCGGGAGAGGAGCTGTCACTTCCTCCATCAGCGGGAGGACGCGCGAGACGGCGGTTTGTCCTGCACAGGTGAGCAAGGACCAGGACAGGTAGTGGGTTATATCAACGTGCACGAGTCATGAGATAGTGCAGATAAACTCAATAGGATGAGGAATGAAAAAAAAAAAACTAGTGCAAGTCCAAAAAAAAGTCAGTATGGCTCAGAAAAACTGTAGGATATACACTAATTATTATTATTATGGTTGTTGTTATTGTTTTGTTTTTGTTTGGACATCACTTTTTGGGATATATTACCGCAGTAGTCAATTTTTTTTATTTGTTTTTATTATTATTATTATTTTATTGTTGTTTATTTATGTTTATTTAAATATTTTTTAAAACATATTTTTATTTTTTATAAATAAAAAATGCATATCAAACAAGATCTCGGGTCTTAATCATACTAATGCAACTATTTAAAATATAAACAACAAATCTGTTTTCGGCATCATAACTTTAGTACCAACATTGGTCAGTTCACTCTCTATAACTAATTATACTGTAGTCCAGGGGTGTCCAATCCTGGTCCTGGAGGGCCACAGTCCTGCATGTTTTAGATGTGTCCCTCTTCCAACACACCTGATTCACATGATCAGGATGGTTATCAGGCTTCTGCAGCGCTTGATGATGAGCTGATCATTTGAATCAGGTGTGTTGGAAGAAGGGAAACATCTAAAACATGCAGGACTGTGGCCCTCCAGGACCAGGATTGGACACTCCTGCCATAGGGTCTCAGCCTTAATGTCTATTCTTGTTGGGTAAATTTGTACTCTGTGTGTTCTTTATGAAGGTGAACAAATCCATACATGCTGCAAATCCACAGTCTGTGATGAGGTATTTGTTACAGGTTCAGAAAAAAGAAAAAAAAAAAATTAAAAACTGTGGAAAATTCTAGGATATATACTTCACAAAAAATGGAATAAATACATTTCAAATTATTGTCAAAATACAGTTTTTCTCATTTTATACATCATTTATCATTTTAATCATTTTTTGTATGTGTATGTGTATGCATGGAGGGTGGGAGGGACGGGTTTGTTTTATTTATTTTATTTTTATTTTTTTAAATGTTGTAATGTTTTTAGATGTTGTAATAGTTTTTAAATGCTTTGTTGTTTTTAAATGTTGTAAAGCACTTTGCGTTGTTGTTGCACATGAAAAGCGCTATACAAATAAAATTTGATTGATTGATTGATTGATTTATCTATCTAATAATATATATTATTATATATCATAGATAACGTTATTGTTTTTACAGACGTTTGTATCTTTCATTAAATACTAAATAGGTATTAAAAAATGCACATGCTCATGTAAAGTAAGGCCAGAAAAAAGGATTTTAGTTATGAGAAATATCTGGTTTGTGGTGTTCTCTTACTTTTCTAGGTTTATTTTTTGTTCGGTTTTGTTTTTACAGTGTAGTCTGGCTCTAACTACATCTGTCATCTCACAAATATCCCCAAAAGTTTCAAGCAGCTTCCCACACACTGACTAACAGGCAAAAACACACAACACCAGGTCCATTAAACAGTGGTGCTGATTGTGTTCATTCAAATACCAGCTTGTTTACATTAATCCTGGAAGCTGAAACTGTATTTATATATTATTATTATTATTATGAGGTGATTGATTATTGACATTTAATGTTTTCTGCTTAATGTGTTTATTTTGTAGAATTCAGTTTCTGAGAGAACTTAACGAGTTTTAATCGTTCATATTATTTTAGAATTTGTCATTCGGTGAAACGATGTTTTGTAATTTATGTTTTGCTGTCATATGAGGTTAATGCAGATTTCTGGCTCTTCTTAAACTGATGGAGTGTCTTGCACACAAACATCACAGACAGATAGATGTTTCCTGTTTTGTCTCCTATACGCCCGTCTCCTGAAATAGATGACATTCTTATTTCAAAAACTTCCCCCCAAACGCACTAAATCAACAGTTAGCGCTGCTGCAATTACAGAAAACTTTATACTCCAGTGTGCAACATTTACATTCTGCAGACAGGCAGCAGTAAAGTAGAAAAAACCTCCAACTCTGAATTAGACTCTGTATACGGCACACCTCAGGTTTATCGCAGCCATACCTGAAATAAATCCCATTTTGATGGTATTTTCAGTGGAGAGAGAGAGAAAAGAAAAAGGAAAAAAAAAAAGCCAATCATTGCAAACAGCAGCAAGAGATTCTGAATTATCCTGCAGATTGATTAAAGCTGGAGATTTTCTAGACAATTGGAGCAGAGATGTCATCAAGGCCAATCAAGCCTGGCCCTATTCCTTTCCCATTACAAAGGCTGCACCTGATTAAGTACATCAAATGAGCAGCCGCAGAACTCCTGGAGCAAGAGGCACACAGGCTGCTGCTAATTTTCAGGTTATAAGCTGTATGTAACAGGAGCAAATGAATAAGACCAGGGAGAGGGCAACGATTTTTTCTGATCTGCGTTTGGTGGCGAGCGTCAACAGGCCGCCGAGCAGATAGGTCGGACTGATTATTTCTCAGATGACAGGAAGAGAATGCAGAGCTGCTGTGTAATATTTTGTTAAAATTGAAAATTGAATAGCTGTCCTCCGCGCTATGTCATTCCTTTAACACTATGCCAATTAAAGGGCTCTATGGTGGCACAATCATTCATTTTCAAGAGGGAGATTGAAATTGAATTATGGAGCATGAGAAGAATGAATTAGATACGCTACATGTTCCCTTGTTTCTCAGCTCTTATCAAACGGAGAGACTGCGTGAGAGTAGTTGAATTTACCACCAGATCCTGGCTCGTCTCCTCTGGAGTTGGAGCACTTGAGATAGCGACTGTAACTGGAGCTCATGGATGGAACGCCGGATAGCGACAGATGTCATTTCATTAAGAGACTTATTTGTGATACCGTAACAGATCGTGTATTACATGTAAATATAATGTGGCGGTGATGTAGCGGCCACATGGTGCTGGAAGCTGGAAGCTGGAAGCTGGAAGCTGGAGCAAGATGCAAGGCTTGAGCGTCATAATTTAAACGCCCGGTGTGTTGCAGGGTCGAGGGTTAAAGCCGGAGTACGCAGTTCAGCAGCAAGCTTGTTTAGATTTAGCTAGTTAGCATATTTAGCTAGTTAGCATGTAGTGTTGTGGTATTGCTAAAAGCAACCCAGGAATTTGCTCCCAAACATGTTTGTCAATCAACAAAGCTTTAATTTAAATAACAATAATAATAATAATAATACCTCCCAATTTGTGCTTTTGTATGTGAAACAATTAAACTAATTTTTCAAGGTTTTTTTCCTCCTAATGTTTGCATGAACATAAAGCAAAGATTGATTATTACAATAATTATCTGAAACCTCATTTGATTTCTTTTGAGAATTAGCACTGCCATTCATTCTGTTTGTTTAAAATGGAACGATAAATAGTTTAAATGAATCTAACCATATAAATGAGGTATTGTGCTCTAATTTACCTCTAATTGG